AAAGATAAAGTAATATTATCTGCTATTATTGGTAAGTTAAGAAAACGAGCAAGACATCTTGCATTTGAATTAAAGAACATTGAAAAGAAAAGAAGAGTTGTAAGTGGAGAATTAGTTGAATGGAAATATCAATTTGATCAAATGATAGCAAAAAGAAGTAATGAATATAGATTTGAACATGGTAAATTAGAAGATTTAATTGAAAGACTAAAGAAAGAAGAAGATAGTATTGTCTGTAAAGGAAGTAGAGGTTTATATGAACAAACTATTAAAATGGTAAAAGAACGAATGGGTATTAGAGAAGAGGAATTCAAAGACTTTAAAGATGAAATTCATCAAATTATTAAAGAAATTAATTTAGCACATGGAAAATGTTATAATGGAATTGTTGATGGAATTGAAGGAGATCAACAAAAATGTAAAGTTTGTGTTAATTTAGCAGAATTTATTTTGAGACAAGCAAGAAATGGAAAGTCTAAAAAGAAAATTGCTCGAATGGTTTTAGCTCGTTGTAAAGCCTCTGATAAACCTCACACTTGTTACTCTGCTGCTATGAGCTTAATGGCTAATTTTGATAGTAAAGTTATTGAAACTACCCCATTACAATTCTGTGTTCATTCTAATAAATGTGTTGTGAGAGATTGGTAATTTGACTCATTTTAAGTAATTTAAAAATTATTGTTGAGAAGTAATAACAAAAAAATTACGTTTAATTTAAAATGTTATTTTCAAAAATAGTTTTTTAATTTTAATTTTTTTTATTAAAAACCCTTTTAAATTTGGTTAACACATCATCAATTATCAAAGAAAAAAGAACAATTTTAAGGAATAAAAAGAAAGACTAAAAGAGATGAAGAAAAAGAATAAATAAAGTTCTTTCATATCATTTATTGTATTAAAATATGGAAGGGACTCAAGCAAAGAAAGTGACATTTACATCACAAGCATATGCATTATTAATGAAAAACTTAACTTTGTTATTTAGAAATAAATGTGCATTATTTTGCCAATTATTACCGTTAATTGTTATTATTTTATGTGGAATTATTGTATTAATTATGAGGGCAGACAGAGAACAAAGTAAATTACCATATATAATTTATAATACACCTGAAGATGCTTGTTATGATGATGGATGGAAAATGATGAATCCACCTAGGGGATGGTATGTGGGTGATTATATTGGTAGTCAAGATCCATCTCAATGTTCAAATAATGCTACAGTATTAGATTCTATACCAAGAATGAAAAATAGTAGTGGGTGTTATCCTAGTTATCAATTTCAAGATAAGGGTGTTGATGATATGATGGTTCGAATTAGACAAATTCAAACGGATTATGATGCAGCACCATACGATGGATCTAAAACACTTCCAGAAAGTGCAGTTATTTTAGAAAACTTAAATACAATAGGAATGAATAAGTCGATTACATTAAAAGTATTATATTCATTATTTGTTATGGATGAAGATCCATTTAAAAGATGTACTACGTTTGTAATGCAATGGTGGTCAAATGCATTAATAAATAATGAAAAAGCAAAAAGTCAATTAGTAAGAGGAATAGGAGGAATACCTCCAGCAAAGATTTATGATGTTATGTATGATTCAATTTTATTTTTCGTATATACACCAATAGTTTTTTCATTATCAATGCCACAATGGTTATATATTGTAGTTGATGATAAATGTAATAGAGTAAGGGAAATGATGAAAATGTTAGGAATGAAAATGACTCCATATTGGGTACTTCATATTGTTTATTTCTTTTGTATATTTTTGATTCAATTCATATTATATTGTTTGTTAGGAGTATTATTTGGAGTAACATTTATTTTAGACGTAAATTGGGGATTATTATTAGGAGTTTTTGCTGGATATGGATTATGTCAAGTATGTATTATTCCATTATTAAATTCTTTATTTGATGATAGTGCAATAGCATCAACAGTTGTAACAGTTGCAATTGGATTAAGTGTAGTTATTGGAGAATTTTTAGGAACAACAACAGCAACTAATGGTGAATGGTATTGTATTTATCCACCATTTGCATTTGTTCAGGCATTAGAAAGAATGAATAGTGATTTATTAATATTTAAAACCGTAAATTATCGTTCCATTTATTGGCCAGTATTTGTATCATTATATGGATGGCCATTAATATTACTTATTATTGGATTATATTGTGATATGGTTCTTCCTAGAAAATATGGAACTCCTGAAAGTCCATTATTCTTTTTAAAATGGTTAAATAGGAGAAGAAATGACCTTGGAGAATCAAAAATTAAAAACCCAAAATCAGAAGATAATGATGTACAAAAAGAATATAAGAAGTTTCAAAAAAGAGAATGGAATTCAAAATCACCACTTATTATTAATGGATTAACAAAAACATTTAAACAACTGGGAAATACTCAAACTGCAGTAAATCAATTATGTCTTGAAGTTGGTAATGAAACATTTGGATTATTAGGTCAAAATGGTGCAGGGAAGACTACTACTATTTCAATGTTAACCGGATTAATAGAACCAAATGGAGGTTCTGCAACAGTGTGTGGATATAATATACATAATTCTATGGAAGATGTTCATACTGTAGTAGGAGTTTGTCCACAATTTGATGTTTTATGGCCAGATTTAACAACTTATGAAATTATTTTATTTTATTGTAGATTAAAAGGACATTTTTTAAAATCAAAGAGTGTTGCAAAACATATTTTAGAAGATGTTGGATTATGGAGTGATAAAGATCCAAAACCACAAAATAGAAGAAGTTCACAATTATCTGGTGGTATGAGAAGAAGACTTAGTATTGCAATTGCTATGACTGGAAATCCTAAAGTTATATTTTTAGATGAACCAACGACTGGATTAGATGTTGCTATTAGAAGAGATGTTTGGGATTTAATTTTAAAAATTCAAAGAAATAGATGTATTATTATTACTACTCATTCTATGGAAGAGGCTGATGTTTTATGTGATAGAGTTGGTATTATGTCAGATGGAGATCTTATTGCCTTAGGTACTTGTCAAAGAATTAGGAATCATTATGCACCAGGATATTATATAAAAATTGCTTCAGAAGAACGAATAGAAGTTACTAATTTCCTAAAACAATTACTTGGAGAAGATGTTGAAGTAAAAGAAGAAAGAGGTATATTAACCGCAATGATTCCAATTGACAAAAAAAGACTGAGTAATATTTTTAGTGAAGTATTAGAACATAAAGAAGAATTAAAAATTGAAGATTGGGAAATTCAACAAAAAGGACTTGAAGATGCATTTATAGAAATTATTGAAGCTGATAGAGCAAGTAAGTCATTAATGTAATTGTAAGAATTTAAAATAGAATGAAGTAAAAAAATAATAAATTCAATTTTTATTAATCATTTTTAGTTTTAAAATAATCTTCTGTTTTCTTATCTAACAATGGACATTTTATATTTTCTATTTGAGAAGTAAACAATGGATTCTTTGATATTGAAGGAACATAACAATTTAAATAATATTCTTTTAATAATGATGTATAACAAGGAGCTAAATTATCTGTTAGTAATACAAATCTTAAATTTGTTGGTGTTTGATAATAATGAAATTTGTAAGTGTCAGTACAAAAACATTCAAAAGTATTTGGTGTTGCTAAAGGATTCATACAATCACAGAAATTAGTTATTGACTGAATTAGTCCTGATATAAATTGTTGGTGTTCAATTAGTCTTTGTGTTGGTATTTCATTTTTAAGAAAATTATAATAATACATACAAATGCCTGCTTCACTATAAATGAATAATGAATATAATTTCATAAATAAATTATTTATAAGTTTCTTTTTAATAAGTTTTTTTCTTTTTATTTTTTTTTAGTTTTATTTGTTTTTGCGTTATATATAACGTTTTATACTATATTTTGTTTTTTAATTTTAATAGAAGTTATTCTATTTTTAATAAAATAATAAAAATAAATGAAATGGAATTATTCTTAATGAAAAAAGAACAAAAAGAAAGAAGAAAATATCAACTAATAGATATATCCACTATTGGATTTTTTCATATTGATAAGTGAATATTTCAGTTTCTTCAATATGCTCTATTGGTGTAATAGAGTTCATTTCTAACATGCTCGCATTATTTCTTCTAGTTCTAATGTGCTGCCAGTGTTGAGTGTGTAAAACATTACGTTTTTCATGCTTTTGTTTGTTATTTGTATAGTATTGAGAAAGGATATTTGTAATTTTAGGGATTTTAATCTTCTTAATATTTCTTTGTGTATTAATCCATTTATTGATAATATTACAGGTATTATTTCTACATATATTATTTCTCTATTATTTCTTAATTTTTCTTTTAATTCTTTGTATTTATTTTATGAATATAATTTAATTCTATAATCATGCCATGACATATAGCAACATCTATAATATATCATTTCTTTTCTTTCATATTTTGATAATATATATGTTATGTCTTCTATCATGGAATGAATTGTCATTAGCTAATAAATCTTTATTGTAAATTATGATCATTTTATCATTATTAATACATTTTGGATGATTATTAAAGTCAATAGCATCAAATTCATTAAAATGGGTAATTAATATCTGTTTATATATTTGTTTACACACATAATCATGTTTTAATATTTGATTTTTCATTACAGGACATCCTAACAATATATGATTAATGGATGCAATTGTGTTATGACAATGTTTAAATATTTTAAATCATCACTTTGGAGTATTTTTGATTTAATATTTCTAGTCATACTTACTCCTTCTTGCATCTTTACTACTTGGATGAATGCATTTCTTTTTATATTCAATGACCT